AGTACCAAATATTAATCCGGATTATTTATAAGTATTGCATAATAGTTGCTATCTATTATTGAATCGAGCCGGACACATGCAAGCGGATTCAATAAACAATGCACAGATTACAGGTGCCACGCTTTTGAACAAATCGGGGGCGGATAATTGTTGGTATAACAAATCAAGGATTCAATGCGACAAACGCGGCATATAGCCCTAATACTTAACCATAATTTATGCAACAAATTTGCGGCAATGGAAATTTTACTTCATGAATAAGTCATTTGCACAAGACAAGAACTTGTGCGGGGGATACGCCATCAGTTTGACATAAAATAAAATTGTAAGGTGATCTTGATAAATCTCATCCATGTCTTCTTTTGTTCTTTCGCGGTGAGCTGTAGAAGCAATCGCGACATCTCATTACAGAAGGAAATCGTTTCCGGTCTGAACACAAACTCTTATGGTGAATATATGCAAATAGAAGCTGCCGTTATTTGAAAACTATTGACTTTGCAAGATTAAGTCGTTTCAAATGTGAACGCTTGTGCTTGTTGGCGTACAGCCAACCATTACGGTCTACCCACACCAAGTGGTTACGGATGAATGCATTTGTATTCGTCATCGTTTGCTTAATAAAATTTGAGACTTAAACATGATGAATGGTAATTTAAACGTGAAAGACCGCTGATTTTAAGGTACTTGAAATCCTTTGGTTTCAAATCTATCCACTATCTAAAATAAATGAAGATGTAAATGAGTGGATTCGGTGATATTTCTAGTGTTTACATCACATTACCAGGGAAATTACTAGAAAAATCGCTTCAATAGTACAAACTGACCTTTGTATCGAGAAAGGAATTATGGGAATGTTCTCTAAAACTTCGATTTGAATGACAATTGTAACAGCTGCCACGTTTACACCGAGACTGGCCCCTTCTGTGATTGGTTCAAACAAAATATGATAGATAGTATCGACGACGGCTTCATGACATGAAAAGAGGGTTGATGTATACAAAGAGTATCTCGTATCGTCTGGTATCTAGTTTTTAAGCACTCTCATCAATGCTGATAACTTTGCCTGTGTATGTGTTAGTGTATTGGCTGAAATTGTTCTTGAGTACATCAATCAATTTCTACAATGAATAAACTACAATCTTTTTAAAATGAATTTAGGCTGTTAGCTGGGAGCAAACTTCTCCCGTGCAGTGAATGCCACAGATGACCACCACAGCATGACTAAGTTAAAGACAGGTGAACACTGATCAGATTAGTTGATCAAAGAGATAAAATTATGTACTTCCACTTAGGGCGCTTTCCATTTGTCAGAACTGACCGGCCAGCCCATTCCTATCGTAATGAGAATTCACTATTAATCAAAACTAACCATCCAGATCAGTCAATTCCTAAATATTATACGCCGGACAAAGGAGATGGTTTTCAAAAAACATCTTGGAAAACGTCTAGAGCGATTTTCGTATAACCTTGAAATGAAAACGCGCGAACAAGACAAAAAACAACAAACGAACGAAAATAGAGCGATTTGATTGGTTTGTCGAACGGATACAAACGCGGTTGGCTTTTGGTTGGTTAAGCGAACGCTCGGATGAAAAAACTTCACCATCGGGGAAAACTAACCCAGCAGTTCATTTTCTGTCGGTATTTTCTTATATTCCTTCACAAGATATAATTAAAGGGGCGGACGCAAAAAAATTCAGGAGAGGGCTGAATTCATTGATTCAGTTAAATAGACCTCCCTTCAGCTGAGCATCGCGATCTTTGAAATGGCGGTGCTGTTAAATTGATGTTAAATTAGTTGCTTTTGGTTCTCAACAAGTAATAAGGAAATCTGCTCGTATAACTCTATGCAGTGGTTGTTAGGGAAAGTTCATTTAATATGACAAGGGGGGGGGGGGGGGTGAAGGTATTTAAACCTGAAACCTTAAATTTTTGGGGGGCCCCCCGGAGGGGGTTCAATTTTTTTAAAGCCCCCCCCCTGGGAGTCCGAAAAATTTCCCGCCCCCCTCCCCCCCCCCCTCGTCTCTTACCATTTTCTGTTTGCAGGGCACAGTTTTGTCTCTTCCCCGTGTCAGCTATGGACTCGATGTCGTATTCATTTTGTTCTTTTTTATAATGTTTTAGT